GAGAGGGGGGGGGGGAAGATTTGTTATGGTTTGGAACCCAGCTTTGCCTGTAAACTAAACTTTCTCTATAAAGTCAACCCAGACAATTTCCCGTGGTGCCACCAAGTGTAACTATGATGCAAATTTTTCAAGGGGTTTCTAAATTATGATTGTACATACAAACAAACACCAAAACAGACAAACAGAAGATTGCAACTTTATATACATGTATTTAGATAAGGGGTTTAATGAATGGATAAAAGAAAAATAGTCAAAACATCCAAAGAGAGGGTAGGAAAATAATTCCGATAAGGTTATAGGCAGCCATATATAGTAGAACTAGCTTGGGAACCCAGCGTTGCCCAGGTCACTCATACTTACTCCCACCGTTTTCCCGCGCTTGGTCTTAAATTACGACTTTAGCTATTTTTCCATATAAAAATCGACCCACTCAACTTAGAATCTCAAAACCAAATCGGTCATGGGGTTCCTTAGTTATGATCGGACATATAAACAAACAAACGAACAAAACTTACTACTTTTTATATATAGAGATATCTTTTAATATAAAGAAAATACAAAGATGGGATGTATATCGAACCTACATATACAGTCAGGAATATGTAGTCTGTAGATACAGCATAGATACAGATACAGAATCCCAATATGTAGAGCTACAGATACAGATACAGAATCCCAATATGTAGAGCTACAGATACAGATACAGATACAAAATCCTTAAAAGGATTCTGATTAAAAGATAGTTTAAAATACATGAGCAAGGCTTAGGTTAGATAGTAGAACGAGTTTTCAATTAAAACATGCATTAAAAGGTCTGGTTACTTCATATCATCAAATGTTAAAAAATAAACCCTTGTGTGTAAAACTGTAATGTATGTCTGTATGTCGTAATTTAGAGCGTCCTCATTGTGCGTCCTCGTTGTCAGTGCAGTCTTTATTTTAATTCATCAAAAGTCCTCTTTTGTTATACATAAATGCTGATAAATGTTTTCACATAATATAAGGACACTTTTTCAGTAAAGGGGGATCCTGTTTTATGTTGCGCAATAGATAAATTAGAAAATGGGTTTGCTCTCCCCCAGTTCTTTGAACAACCTTCTTTACCTTTCGTTACTCCAACCTTATTTATTTACTATTTACTTATTACTTATTTACGACGCAAATTTACAGACGCGAAAAAGATTAGACATTCATAAGGATTGGAGACGCATTTTAAGGACTCACATAGAGAACACACAATTCAGAAGGGATTATTTATTCAGGATTGCACACAAATAAGGAAGCTCTAATAATGGTACACCAATGAGGATGAAATGCATATTATTGGTTAAAATTGAAATTAAGCAAAATAGTGAAAGACTGAAAATCTAATTATCATTCGTTGTAAAAGTTTAGCTTTAGTCATCATCCCAGAAAACCTCGTTCAGATCCTAGCTGGTAACTAGTTCCACTGGATACAATTGTTCCCGGCTAGTAACAAGTTCCCCTGGATACTATGGTTCCCAGCTAGTAACTAGTTCCCCTGGATACAATGGTTCCCAGCTAGTAACTAGTTCCCCTGGATACAATGGTTCCCAGCTAGTAACTAGTTCCCCTGGATACTATGGTTTCCAACTAGTAACTAGTGCCCCTGGATACTATGGTTCCCAGCTAGTAACTAGTGCCACTGGATACAATGGTTCCCACCTAGTAACTAGTTCCCCTGGATACAATGGTTCCCAGCTAGAAACTAGTGCCCTTGAATACAATGGTTCCCAGCTAGTAACTAGTTCCCCTGGATACAATGGTTCCCAGCTAGTAACTAGTTCCCCTGAATACGATGGTTCCCAGTTAGTAACTAGTTCCCCTGGATACAATGGTTTCCAGCTAGTAAACAGTGCCCCTGGATACAATGGTTCCCAGCTAGTAACTAGTTCCCCTGGATACAATGGTTCCCAGCTAGTAACTAGTGCCCTTGGATACAATGGTTCCCAGCTGGTAACTATTTCCTCTGGATACAATGGTTTCCAGCTATTAACTAGTTACCCTGGAAACAATGGTTCCCAGCTAGTAACTAGTTCCCGTGGATACTATGGTTTCCAGCTTGTAACTAGTGCCCCTGGATACAATGGTTCCCATCTTGTAACTAGTGCCCCTGGATACAATGGTTCCCAGCTAGTAACTAGTGCCCCTGGATACAATGGTTCCCAGCTAGTAACTAGTTCCCCTGGATACAATGGTTCCCACCTAGTAACTAGTTCCCCTGGATACAATGGTTTCCAGCTAGTAACTAGCTCCCCTGGATACAATGGTTCCCAGCTAGTAACTAGTTCTCCTGAATACAATGGTTCCCAGCTAGTAACTAGTTCCCCTGGATACAATGGTTCCCAGCTAGTAACTAATTCCCCAGAATACAATGGTTTCCAGTTAGTAACTAGTTCCCCTGGATACAATGGTTCCCAGCTAGTAACTAATTCCCCTGAATACAATGGTTCCCAGCTAGTAACTAGTTCTCCTGAATACAATGGTTCCCAGCTAGTAACTAGTTCCCCTGGATACAATGGTTCCAAGCTAGTAACTAGTTCCCCTGGATACAATGGTTCCCAGCTAGTAACTAGTTCCCATGAATACAATGGTTTCCAGCTATTAACTAGTGCCCCTGGATACTATGGTTCCCAGCTAGTAACTAGTTACCCTGAATACTATGGTTCCCAGCTATAAGTAACTAATGCCCCTGGATACGTTGATAATGTCAGTTTTCTCGCTCCTCGGGCTTAAAGGGTTAACAACATACCTAACCTTTCCCCCGGCCCTTCTCCCTTCTTACTGTAGTCATATTCAAGTTCTTTTCAACAAAACTAAGTTGATCTAAACTAAACTTAGTTGATCTAAACTAAACTGACTTGATCTAACTAAACTAAGTTAATATAAACAAAACTAAGTGAATCTAAACTAAACTTAGTTGATCTAAACTAAACTTAGTTGATTTAAACTAAACTGAGTTGATCTAAATTAAACTTGTTGATTTAAACTAAACAGAGTTGATCTAAACTAAACTGACTAGAGTCAAACTAAACTAAACTGAGCTGAGATGACCTTACTTGAATTGTTTTATGAAAACTCATCCTAGAATTATCAAAATTATACTCTTTAAACCCTTCTCCTCGCATTCCAAGCATTCTTTACCCTGCAGTCTTCTTTATTCTTTACTTTATGTTTTGTATTATTATTTCCTCATTCTGTACTCTACGATTACCTGAGCTATTTTTTAGTCTTTTATCTATTTTTTCCTCTGCTATTCTTTATAACTTTACTCTAGGTTTTCCTCTGCTATTCTTTATAACTTTACTCTAGGTTTTCCTTGTTTTTCTTTATAACTTCGCTCTACGTTTTCCTCTGCTATTCCTTATTTTTTAATCTACGTTTTCATTTCTTAAAACTTATTCTTTACTCTACGTTTTCATTTGCTATTCTTTACTCTTTAGTCTTTACTCTAGGTTTTCCTCTGCTATTCCTTATTTTTTAATCTACGTTTTTCTCAATTCTATTCATTTTTATTTACTCTACAATTACCTTTGCTATCCTTAATTCTTTACTCTAGGTTTTCCTCTGCTATTTAATATTATTTACTCTACGCTGTCCTCTGCTATTTCTTATTCTTTACTCTAGATTTTCCTCTGCTATTCTTTATTCATTACTTTAGTGTTTTCTCTACTATTATTTATTCCAGGGTTTCCTGTGCTATTCTTTATTCTTTGGACAAAGTTTTCTCCTGCTATTTTTTATTCTTTACTTTAGGGTTTCCTCTTCTATTCTTTTTTCCTGGGTTTCCTGTGCTATTCTATATTCTTTGGACTAAGTTTTCTCCTGCTATTCTTAATTCTTTACTTTAGGGTTTTCTTCATCCTGCGATTCTTTATTCTTTACTTTACTTTTCCTCTATTCTCTGGTATTCTTTATCATTTTCTTTTCTTTTCATTCTTAAGTTCAAAAGTTTAAATACAATTTTAAAACTATATAGCAACATTTTGTAAGCTCCCTGAATCCCCGAAACAAAGATCTCTCTCTCTCTGTATTTATAAATATTTACAAAGTTTAAGGCTGCCAAACCTTCAATGTTTAAAAAATGGATGTCCATAATGTTGAGCGGATAGATAGATAGATAATTATATACATGAATAGAAGGATAGATAGAAGGATAGATAGAATGAAATGTAAAAATGTCTGAATAGATTAAAACAAAAGATGGTGCCTATCAGAAAAGTTCAAAGGTTAAACTTTGTTTTATTCATCTTCGGTAAAACCAGCATATGTTACAGGATAGATAGATATAGAGATAAGTAGACAATGATATATATATAATATATATAAATAGATAGACACTCATACAGACACACAAACAGATATGGATGGAAAAATATGTATATGTACAGTATACACTGTCTAATGTACATATATACAAAACTAGTTTTAGAATATTTTTGATACATGAACATAATTTTGACACAAATATCTATTTCTAATAATACATTTTACCCTTTATTCAACAAAGAATTATCTAAATATTTCACTTCTTAGTCTCACGACGATCTTGAGAAGTCAAATTCTTAGAACAAAATAAAATTACGATAGTCTACGAAAGTTGGGCTTGATTGGATTGGATTGGACTGGATTGGATTGGTCGTTTTGACGTTTTATGTAAATATACAACCACACAAAATCAAGAGACAAAAATAATCAATAGTGTACTAGAATGGGAACCATGCTTTGCCTGGAAACTATTGTTTTCCTATAAAAGTCGATCTGCTCAACTTCAAATGTTTAAACCCAGCTAAGAATGTTCCTGTTATTTTAACGAGTTAAATTTGAGTTAAATTGGTACAGGAGTTCCTGAGTTATGATCGATGATTACAACCAACGGTACCCGCCAAAACAAGTTCTCTGAAAAAATTGAAGGAAATAAAGTCCTAAATTTTGGCACTAAAAAAGTCTTGTGGAAAAAAATTCTTGAAATAAAAAGTTTCTGGAATTAAAGTCCTACAATTTGGAGGCTTAATTTTCCAGGGCTTTTATTCTAAACACAATATGATTTTATACAAAAATATTCCCGGAAAAAAGGTCCTATTGTAGTAGAAAATACATGGTAACAAAGGATGTTTACAACCATGCAAAACAAGATGCAGATGCATTGAAGAAAAGTTCTTTTTATGAAAACGTCTCAGACTTGACCTCATTTTCACAAGACTTAGGATTTTTTTTCTTCGGATATTTTTTTCAGGACTTTAATTCCTGTGATCTTATTTCCTGAGACTTTATTGGCAGCCTCCAAGGAAAAAAAGACCCTGGAATATAAAACTCAGGACTTTATGTCCAGTGACATTTTGTCCTAGGATTTCAGAAAAAAAATTTCCGGTGACTTTCTTACATAGATTCAAACAAACAAACAAACAAACAAACAAACAGAAGACTGACAGACAGAGATTACTACTTTATATATCTAAAGCTAGATTTATATCAATATGATGTATTGAAGTGTGGGTGTGTGTGTGAAGGTGAGTGTGTGGGAGTGTCTGTCTGTTACCTAATGAAGAGGCAGCAATCAGACTCAGTCAGATTAAAATCTTCCGTGGCAACTCTATATCAAATATATTCTCAAGTATCCCCGGCCGGGCACCCAATCCTTATTCTAGGTTTAGATATAGAGACCCCCACCCCCCCTCGTGATCCAAAGGTTGCAAGCTCTCATGCAAAAATCGATGAGAATTTTTCCAACTACTTCTTAAAAAGGATAGTTTCCTGCAAGGTTATAATGCAAGGAAAGTTATTTCAGAGGTGTACCTATCCTTTTACTGCAGTGTAATGTCTCTTGGCGGTAATGTAAACACAAGACGGATGTCGAAGCCTGATGACATAGGATCCATCATTCGCATAAAAAATCAATGAAATATTTTGGTCATAGGAAACTATTATGTGAATTATCAAAATTATCAAAATTTAATTCTTTTAACCTCCTCGGGTACTAATCGAACAATGATTATTGTTTATAAATTCCGCCCAGAAAGTATTGGTTTCAATATGTTCGCAGAGTATACACAACTGCAATCAACTTCCCTTACATTATAACCTTGGTTTCCTGGATCCAAAGAATTATAAAGTAAAGATAGTTACTTCAGAGGTGTATGCTTTGTGTACTGCAGTGTACTGTTTTGGGCTATAAAGTAAACACAAGATCGATGTCACAGCCTTCCCCCACCCACATTCCAATCTTCCCAAACCCTGAACTAATCCTCCCCCACCCACATCCAAACCTTCCCAAACCCTGACCCAACCTTCCCCCACCCACATACCAACCTTCCCAAACCCTAATCATCCCCTCCCCTAACTTGAAAAAACAATCTCTTCCTCCCATCCCACCCATCCCTCCGACAGGTTTTCAAAACAAAAAGGATAAAATTGAGAATTTCCTTTCAAAGAGTTCTCCTCCGTCTAGATATTCCATCACTAGTATCAATTCCTGAACATTTGTAATACAATCAACGGAATCAACGGAATCAACAATATTAACGACATAAAAATTGTTCAACGATATGAACGAAAAGGACAAATGGCCAAATGAACAAAATGAACAAAATGAACATAATGAACAAAATGAACAAAAGGAACAAAATAAATGAAATAAACAAAATTAACAAAATTAACAAAATCAATGAAATAAATAAAATTAACAAAATTAACAAAATCAATAAAATGGACAAAACGAATAAAATAGATTAGGAATAAAATGAAAGAAATTAACAAAATGCACAAAAATAAAGAAAAAAATATATGAAATAAATGTTTTAAATTGAAAGAATACAGTTAACCTCATGAAGAAGTGACCAAAAAATAACAATCGTAAAAAATATAAAAATAAAAAAATTTGAAAAATTTGAACGAAATATTAGAATAAACGATACAAACGAATAATGAACGAAACAGTTTATAGAATAAACGATATGAACGAAATAATAGAATAAACTATATGAATATTATGAATGAAGGAAATGAATGTACTGTATGTGTATACCCTGTTATTCTCGAAAGCTTCTACAAACTTGATAACATGAGGGTTGGATAGGTTCTGTAGGATTCCAATCTCCTCTTTTACTCTGTACATAAGCATTTATTGGTACATGAATAAACATATGTACAGTATACAGTTCATGTTCAGTTGAATATGTACATAGTTGTTGGACATGTGGTTCCCCCTTGCTTGTTGATAAATGATCGATTGTAAAAGTAATAAATTAATTATTTTACGGCCTTCTACCCCAGGCTATAATATTAAAGGTTGAATCCTCTAATCTTGGTTTAAACACCATTTAGGCATAATTTAGGCTACTTAAGCCGCAGGATAGGAATACACCAGGCACTGATTGATTGAATTAATATGGAGGGAAAGCATTAAAGGATTTTTATTTAGCATTTAAAAAGAAAATAATTAAATGCATTTTTCCTTTTTTTGTGTTCTTCTTTTCGAATTTTGATGTGTTTGGCCGCCATAATGTTTCCGGTCGATTTGTCTTCAATCTGAAATTGAAAATATTTAAGTCCAATCGGTTCAGCCGTTTTTACGTTTATTTGATACAAAAAAAAAACTTGCATAAAGCTAAGCACTACAAATGATTCAAACGACAGTACCATAAAAATATCTAACCTCTAAAATATCAAGGTTGTAAACTTGATGTACGGGGGATAGGGTGTGTGTACACATTTCACTGTGAAATATTTGGACTGCTAGGAACTAGTGTTATCTAAAAGGAACAAATATTGTAGACGATGAACGGAATTTCCCTGCAACAGTTCCGAGAAGTCCTTATTCGTCACAATAAAATCTACACAAACCCTATCCCCCGTATCTTTATTATAGATCCCCTGACTACTATTATCATGCATTGATAGACACTATTTTTTGGTAATATTGAATAGCTAGCTCTATGCACGTCAGATCAAGGAAGAAACACGAGGAACCTCCTGAGTCAAATGTAAGCAAAATGTACTACATTATATCTGGGAGAAATGTTAATGTTAATAAACGGTGTTTAACGGAGAAGGATGCTTTTCCTAAAACCCCCGTTCAAAATTTAAATACACAGAATTGACGCAACGAATAATGAGCTGTTCCTGGTGTATTTTCCTTGCATTAAATGGTCAAGAGTTCTGCGTATACAACTCTAGGAATATTCAGATTCTGTGCGAACTTATTCGGCCTTGTTACACTTATACCCAATAATCATATCGAGGCAGACGTATATAATTTAGATAGATAGATAGATACTTGACCTGCTACAAGGGGTGGTAACTAGATAGATAGTCTAGATAGACAGATAGATAGATAGATAGCTAAAAGAAGTGGTTGTCTGTTTGTTTGTTTATCACTCCTTTTTTATACTCACTCGGTTGGTCTCGTAAGCACTCTATCATATCCAATGTCCGTGATTGTGTCCTGATAAATCTCGAATGAAAGCTGTTTACTTTTCATGTGGCCGGTAGAAGACCCCAAAATTTTCATCTGGAAGACGACTTCAAAATTTTCACCTGGAAGACGCCTCCAAAATTGTCACTTGGAAGACGACAACAATATGTTTACCTGGAAGAGGACCCAAAACTGTATACCTGGAAGACGACCTCAATCTATTTACCTGGAAGATGACCCCAAACTGTTTACCTGGAAGATGACCCCAAAATGTTTACCTGGAAACTACCCCAAACTGTTTACCTGGAAGACGACCACAAACTGCTTACTTGAAAGATGACCCTGAACTATTTACCTTGAAGACGACCTTGAACTGTTTACCTGGAATACGACCCCAAACTGTCTACCTGGAAGATGACCCCAAACTGGTTAACTGGAAGACGACCACAAGATGCTTACCTATGACCCTAAACTATTTACCTTGAAGACGAATTCGAACTGTTTACCTGAAATACGACCCCAAACTGTTTACCTTGAAGACAACTTCAAACTGTTTACCTGAAATACGACCCCAAACTGTTTACCTTGAAGACAACTTCAAACTGTTTACCTGGAATACGACCCCAAACTGTTAACCTTGAAGAAGACTTCAAACAGTTACCTGGAAGACGACTTCTAACAGTTACCTGGAAGACGACCCCAAACTTCCCTCTACCGAGTTCATCCTTTCTGAGGTAGCTGGTGTTATACTTCTCTACAGGCTGCAGCTCAATACTTTCAGGATCCATCATCCTAGAGTAAGCAGATTTTTAGATTTAAACAGTTGTCGACGTAAAATCAAAAGACCCTCTATTTAATGAGGTTCATGATTGATTCACAATCGTAATCTTTAAACCTTTGTTTGAGCAAAAATGATAAATGTATCAATGTTTTTTTCTTTGAAATTGTAAAGTTTCAATTGTGGTTCGCTTCAAAATGAATTGTGAACAGAAACAAGTTAAACATTTCATTTCTATTTATATCAAACAGAAAAACGACTTTATCTCTCTTCTTGACGTTGTGAATCGGGCATTTAAAGCTTTAAACATTCCTTTGATCATATAGAACCCTCTAAAATTTCCATTTCACATATTTACCAGAAGTGTTTGGCAAACAATAATTAAATTTTTAAGATTCGGTCTCATTTTAATTTCTATTCACAGACCTTAAAACTGGTTTTTGTTTGAACGGCTGTGAGTTGAGTGAGTTGAGACGGCTAAGATTTACCGATCGATTAATAATTCAATTATATTATATTCATGAGAAATAGAAAACTGGTTAATTCCAAAGTAAAAAAGGTTTAGATAAAACTGTCCTGTCGTACAAGTTATAATTTTTGTAATTGCAAATATCATTATTATCAAATGAATTGTTCTTTCTAACAGGCTGATTTGTTGCAATCGCCCCGGGTAGAGTAGTTATTGCAGAATCATTAGTAATTGTGGATTGTGTACTAGAAGGGTCTTTTCTTTTAAAATATATCAGAAATGCTACAGTGGTCCCCCCAAAAAAACTTTGTAAAACAACGCAAAATATGACTTGAAAATAGTAGACATGATACATAACGTTTTCTCTTCATAATTGAATTTTCAAGCTATTGTAAATATACAACTGTAAATACACATTAGGTTACTTCATATCATAGTCGTCTTATTTTAGTAGACCACTGTAATATCATACTGTCGTCTTATTTTATCAATGTATTTAGCAGATCACTGTAATATCATACTGTCGTCTTATTTTATAAATGTATTTAGCAGACCACTGTAATATTCTGGCAAAAGGATTAAAAACGTTTAATTAACTTTAGCAAAATAAAAAACTTTTCAAATATGATAATCTTAAATTGATTATTATTATATTTTAATTTTATTTTGCTTCTGCATGATTTCTTTACGTTATTCAAATGAATTATTGTCTTTTATCATGACACCTTGATAAAGATAAATTTAAAGTTTTAGTTTGGTTAGTCTTACATCCATTAATCTATTTCAACATTAATTAAATTACTTATGATCCTCTAGTCCAAAATTTAATTCCTGGATATATCCAGCTCTAATTCAACATTTAATTCCTGGATATATCCAACTCTAATCCAACATTTAATTCCTGGATATATCCAACTGCATGTAAGTCCAGTAAGAAATCAAGCTTCTATCGTATAATAAACTGCAGGTATTGTGTTCTGTATGCTGAACACAAATCATGTAAAGGCTCAATCTGAACTGTGGGGGGCGCAATCATTTATTTATAATTCAACATTTTATGATTTGTATCTTCCCCTTTATCTTTCTATCTGCATATCTATCATTTTATCTTTATTTTATACTATCGTTAGTTTCGTCTGCTGTGTACATATCTAGAATATATACTAGGATTCCTATTCATCAATTCATCCATTCATTTATGTATATATGCATCTATCCATTTTTATTTTTATTCATCTGTTTATCTATTTAACTATTCATTCATTCATCTTTGTTTCTATGCATCTATTCAACTATGTATCTATCTTTTATCTATTCATTTATTCATTTTTTTTTCAGTGTATCTATGCACCTATTCATCAATAAATTTATTCATCTGTTTATCTATTCATCTATCAACTCATTCATCTATGTATCTATTCATCCTATCTATTCATCTTTTTATCTATTCGTTTACTTATCTTTTCTTTTATTCATGTATTAGTCTTCTGAACTATAATCTATTCATCTGTTTTTCTTTTTATTCCTCATCCTGTTAAACTTTTAATCTATAACCCTATATAGCTATATTTTATTAATCTAAATAGAATAATTTAAATTAGAACAAATTGTAAACCTCACTAACCTATTCTATATTTTTTTAATCTAAGATAAAAACTGAAGGTGCTCTAAGAATATTTTTGGAGACAAGTTTTAATGTATATGTGCAAACCTGCCCCCCCCCCCCGTTTCACAAGAGATTACCCTACTAACTTAGGTAAAGAAAAGTATATTTTCACGGAATTAAAAAGTTTTTTTGAATTCTTTATGCGTTACTGTTTATCTGTTAATTTTAATACATTTACACAACTATATATATTTATTCATCTACCTTGATCTTTAATATAGCTTGATAAATTATATACTGAAGACAGTTTCCAAAATATCGAATGACAAGACAAGAAAGAATTCAAAGATAATTATAAATCCAATATATTGGGTTTGATAAATGAACCCTGTGCTAGACAAGCTAATCTATACAGGCTGTTGTTTAATAAATATTATTTAATACATATGTTTATACGACCCTCCTTCATCCTTACACCCCACGCTATGCTTGAAAATTTCAAACGATAATTTTAGGAAATGGGCTTACAACTTCTATGCACACGTTGGGTTAAAACACCAGTTTAGCTCGAGAGACCTAAACGGGAGCATTGACATGTGAAAACAATGTAGAGATTGTGAAAAAGTATCAAGTATGAGACTAGAGTTGTATAGTCCCTCTATCTTGGAAGATAGTTGTGCAGTGAAAATTTAATTAGAAGACCTAAACGCACGAATGCCATGGTAGCGTAAAATGAATTTAGTTTGCGTGACTTAAAGGAATAGATTTTCAAAACGTCTCCTGTAGGATCGGTTCAAACCCCACCAATCCTAATAATTATTTCTTTGCATAAACATTTTCCAAGAGAAAGATCTGATAAAATGTTGATAAATCTGAACTCGATGAGTTTGAGTTTTCTTCTATGCAAGTTGTGACAGTGCCATTACTTTTGAACTGTTTAAATCTCATTGTTTAAATTCCACAAGCTGGGTCTAGAGTCTAACCTGGAGTACATTAACCTAGTAGGGTCTAGAGTCTAACCTGGAGTACAATATCCTAGTAGGGTCTAGAGTCTAATCTGGAGTACAGTATCCTAGTAGGGTCTAGAGTCTAACCTGGAGTACAGCATCCTAGTAAGGTCTAAAGTTTAACCCGGAGTATTACTGAACCTAAACCCTGATAATTTGATTGATATAATGATGATGCCCAAGGATACACGAATATAGGATTTACACAGCTCCACAGTATTTATGTTGACAAAAGAAGGAGCCTAGGGATTGTATTGAGTGCTGGTGAAAAGACCAATTTTTGGTCTAGATTTACAGATAATAAGGATATAAGGAGATGAAAGGGAATTATGAGGACAAAGGGAGTTGTTTAACAATTCAAAATTGAATCCCCCCACCCTCCTCCTTCTCCTTCACCTCAATTACATGATGAGAAGTAATTAAATGATATAATTATACTCCCTCTCTTAAGTTCTAAGTGGTGTAATTAAAGTTGCAAAGAGATAATCTACAAGGTTTAGATTACTTTGAATTAAATCACTTAAACCTGTATTACTCATGGGGCAACAGTTTCATGTGATCAAGAGTCGAATTAAGCCCTCTAATCAATTCCTGAGAGGGATTTAACCTCTGAGACATATAAAACCCAAGGATAAAGTTTAGTTTTATTCAGCCAGTGATCTAATATAGACTAAAAATGACAGTCAGCAATTTTGCAATTCTCAATTGGCACTGCACATAGAAATATTGTATGAGAAGGATAAAAGATGTGAGGTTTGTATTGAGACCCACCCAGAATAGATGTAAATACGGAACAATGGATCCAGTCAAGATTCTATTCTAGATTTATCCATCAGGGCCCAGGTCGGGGACAGAAATGCGTCAAAATGTGACGTATTTTAAAGATGTGTCACAGGCGCCATGTTAAAATAACATTGCTAAGATTCATGAGACATTTAGAACCAAGCGTTGAGGTTTAATTTGTTTAAACATATATACTGAGGTAAAATTGGAAATATCAATCAATATTAAGAATTCAATTTTAAATCTGAGGAAGAGAATGCTTAAGTACTGAAGGGTAGTATTTTAACAGAGAAAACAACTATTAGTAGTATATTAATTTATAAGAAGACACTATTTAAATATAGGAGTATAATATTTCAATATAGAAGGATAATATTTCACTATAGGAGTATAATATTTAAATATAGGAGTATAATATTTAAATAAAGGAGGGCAATATGTAAATATAGGAGGATAATATGTAAATACAGGAGGATAATATGTAAATATAGGAGGATAATATGTAAATACAGGAGGATAATATGTGAATATAGGAGGATAATATGTAAATACAGGAGGATAATATGTGAATATAGAAGGACAATATCTAAATATAGGAGGATAATATTTGAATGTAGAAAACGATGTCTGAGCGTTTACAGTTTTAATTTATGCAGAAGACAATAAAAAAATAACTGGACAATTTTTTAAGAGAAAAAGACAATATTTAATGAGAAAAAGACAATATTTAACGAGAATAAGACAATATTTAAAGAGAAAAAGACAATATTTTAAGAGAAAAAGACAATATAATATCAGTTTGAAGAAAGAGATCCCAGACATTGTTTAAAGATATGCCAAGGAAAACCATTAAAGTTTTTATCTTGGCAAGAAATAGTTTAAATAAAGCAATTTTGTTCTCATCAAGTATTTTGATAATATCTTCACTAAAAACAACAACAAGACCAAAATAAGAGGGATTATTAACTTTATGTTTTTAAAACCCTCTTTTTAAAAATGTCATTTAAAAATATTGATGTCATTTATTTCTCTAATGTTCTATCTGAAATTGATAACATTTTTCTAAAAAAGCAAGTCAACGACGGACCACTAAACGACCGAAATTTGTCGTTTTCCGCTAAATTTAAAAGTTTAAAGCCTAAAAGAAAC